GAATGTGGTCATGTAAATGCTGACTTGTTATTTATACTAATGCAGAGACAGTGGTACTGTCTTATAGATGTATCAGAAATTGTGGCTGATACATATCACTATATGACCTTGGAATATTCATTAGCTTCCACACGATGTGTTAGTAACTAAACTTAAAATTAGGAAGTATTTTTAAAGATAATTGTCTATTTTGTTCTAATTAAAAGTTTCTTCTTTTCCTATATAGGAAAGTATGCAACAACAACAGGAAGAGTTTGTGTTATCTTGCCCAGATACCCACAATGCATTCATCAAGCTTTTAGTTTCTATTTTGTGTAATGGTGATAACACACAGCAATTAAATTCCACGTTAAATAAGTACAATGAACTCATAAATGAAAACAAAGTTAAAAAGCAATTCATATTGGAAACAGACATATATTCCAAAATTGATGAACTAGAAATGTTGTAAGTATTATATTTTTAACAGTTATACAAGTGAAATTCAAAAGGGAGCAACATACAGTTTCAAACCAATTTCGTATGAAATTGAAACTTATTACAAGGAAGCTTGTGATCATTTACAAAATATACAAACAGATTTAACTAAAGTAATAAGTCAAATGAAAGAACAAATGGTAAATTTATATATATTAGCGATAATCATATTATTTTTACTAAAATAAAAAATATTCAAGACAGACATTTAATATGGCAACAATTTTTAGTGGATCCAATTACACTAAAACAAAAACATAAAGAAGGCATGCAAATAACAAATAAATCATGTTTTCGAAGTACATTTGAAGTTGAATAAATACGATTTTTATGAGTGAGCAAAACAGTCTAAGCTAACCACACATAAATAAGGGGAAGCATGATGCATGGGTTAATTGCATAGTACTGGAGTATCGAGAAGCGTAATACATAAATAAACTGTTCGGTTATGGACAAATACATGCACAGTTAGAAAACCTCCTACATACTATTAAATACTTGTCAAAAGTGGAGGAGTATTGTATATATTATTGGCGAGCTGATACGTATTCAATATCTAGCTATCTGTACATACTTACAGTTATTACTTGTATTCTTCTCTGTTAAATATTTTGAATTCTTTCCAAATATATTCTATAATTTTGTTAAAAAAAACAATTACAAGGTTTTTAGTAAATATATAACTAAAGTACATCTATTGCAAAAGTTAATGTACTCCAAGTCCGAAATACATTAACAAGGTTATGTATGAGCTTTAAGCCAATTTGAATTCAGTGTTTAAAATTGTAGAATGAATATTTTATCATAGCAGGAAGATACACTCTACTTAAATCAAATGAATGAATTTTTGTTACATACTGACACTTGTTTATTTACAATTAAGATTATAGGAAAACTAGTACACATATGATT